AATTTCCCCATAGGACCCCGGCATCTGCCCCCCTGCCATTTCCCCAGGGGACCCAGCGTCCGGGCCCCCCCACACTCACGTTGCTGTGGGGCGTGGGGCTCTGGCACCCCCCAAGGCACCAGGCGCACTGGGGGTCCTTGGTGCAGGTCCCCCTCTCGGCGTAGAGCGAGCAGTAGTCCAGGTGGTACTGGGGGGACAGTGGGATGGAAATTCCCAGCGCTGGGGGGGGGGGTCGAGGTCCCCACAGCCCAGGGGCTGGGGACCCCATGGCGAGGGGATGGGGGAGCCCGGGGACCCCATGGCGAGGGGAGAATTGGGAACCCCATAGGGAGAGGTGGAAGGGGCGGGGGGACCCAGGGACCCCCAGGGTGGGCTGGGGGACCGGGGGACCCCTCAACCAGAACAGAGATCCCTGGGGTGGATTAGGGGACCTGGGCACCCCCCAGATGGGAGCAGGGACCCCATAAATGAACCAGTGGAACTGCTAACCCCCCCCAGATGGGAGCAAGGACCTCCAGGGGGAACCGGGGGCTCCAGGGACCCCCCAGATGGGCTCAGGGACCTTAGGGATGGGTGGGGAGCTCTAGGGACCCCCCAGATGGGCACAAGGACCCCAGGGGATAACACTCACATTCTGGGCCGGCACCTGGAAGACGAAGGCCGGCACTTTGTAGGCCAGAAGATCTCCTCGGGGGGCCCCGCTGAAGCCCCCCGCCACCAGCAGCACACTGCCCCGCAGCACCCCGGCCACGTGGGCGTAGCGGCCCTGCCCCGGGGACCCCCGGGACCCCTGGTCTGGGAGCACATGTCAGCATCGACGGACCCCCGGGACCCACTGGGATCCCCAGGACCCCCAAACCCCTGTGTGACCCCCAGTCTGGGGGCACATGTCAGCATCGAGGGATCCCCAAATCCCTCAGGGATCCACAGACCCCCCCGTCAGGGGGCACATCAGCATCACAGGACCCCCAAGATCCCCAACACCCTAGTGTCCCACGTGGGACCTATCCCTGTGTGTCCCCCCACCATGGGGCAGCCCCACGTGTGTCCCCCCACCCGTGGGACAGCCCCCACCCCCTCACCGTGGGGCAGCCCGTGGGCCAGTTCGGCACTGGGGACCCACTGGTGGCAGCCGAGGTGATAGAAAAAGATCTCATCCTCGTAGCACTTCTCCTCGTGGTAGTGGATGTGCACGTTCCCCCCTGCGTGGTCAGGGCAGGGGTCAGCCCCTGGGGGGCCGGACCCCCACCTGGGGTAGTGGGGACCCCCTGGGGGACAGCAGGGCCCTGGGGACCCCATTCACCACAAACCACAACCACGGTGATGAGCGGCGGGTCCCTGGGGGGTCTCGGGGCTCGCCCTGGACCGCCCTGCTGCCCCCGATGGGGGGTCTGGGGGTCGCCGGGGGTCCCTGCTCACCGTAGACCACCATGTAGTCGCCGATGACGGTGGCGGTGTGGAAGGCACGCTCGCGGGGTCCGCGGGCGCCGTCCCGAGCCCGCAGCGTGGTCCAGTGCCGCAGGTCAACGTGGAAGAG